GCCCACACCCCCCAGTGCTGCAGTCATGAGACCTGGGTCTCTGTGCGGCATGGGTCGCCCAAGACGCATTTTGTTTGCTTGCATGGATTTCGGGGATCTCACCCAGTGGTGCTGTGGCGCTCTAACTTCGGACGCGGGTGAGGTTCCCATGGCGGGACAGGCGCACCTCCAGCGAGTCCCAGATATTTTATACAACCCACTCGTCCGTCCTCTGGTGAACTCCTCCAGTCCGTCATTCACCCACATGGTCTTTCACGAATCGCAAACCACAACAGCAAGTTTCCGCTCCTCTGCCTGGCACCAGACCACCCCTGCAGCCAACATGTGCAATTTCACACAGGTCAGCCCTCTCCCACTCCTTGCTATCATGACGCGCCCTGCTTGGCTGACACGACCCCATCCTCCAGAGAGAGTACTCATGCGGCCACTATCGGTGGATCGCATCACAATGGTGTCGCGAATACACGTTGACGCACAAACGATGCCAACCGGACGTCACCGACTGGGAGTATAAGTGAGCCAGAGTCTATCCCCGGACCACGCCGCTGTCGAACGTGCTAACATGTATGTCCATCAGAGCAGAAGTGATATGTGGCGAGTGCAAGGCCAAAGCTCGCGCTCTCCACGGGCCCTATGTCGCGTGGGAGGGCATGATCAAGCGGTCACCCCTGATCGAGCGGTTGTTGGCCCTCTGACGGTCAAAATTGGTCAAAAAATGGGGCGTTAATGGCGGATGTTTGGAATTTTGGTTCATTTTTGGGCATCAACACTTGGTCTGGCGTCTGGCGGCAGCTTCTAGGCTCGCCCGGGCATTGGCTTGCATGGACGGCAGGTCCGGAACGGCGCAACAGATACCCTTTGTTTTATCAAGTCCGCTTGTGATTTTGGGAGTAATTGGCCCTCGGGGCCCTGGGCGAGAGACGGGACACCTCATGGCTAGAAATCGAGATCGAGTTGACACTTTGCAAGTTGCAACGGCTCCTGCTGGCTCGTGCTGGCTCGTGCTGGGAAAGATGTCAGTCAAGATGACTGGGGTCAGGGCTGGTGAAGGACAGCGATTGGGGAGACCCAAGAACCAGGTTGCAAAGCAGCAGGGCTGGGGAAGTGATGGCAGTGAGGCTGCCTGGCATGACCGGCTGGGGAAACAAGATGTAGGAGATGCAGCCCGAGATGGACAGGGGCGGGGAAGCGGGAGGAGGGCGCAAAATACCGGGGGAGGGGGAGGGGCCGCCAGTAACAAAGCTCAACCCCCTGCCAGGATTCCATGCCAGTCTTGGGCGTGCGCACACGATGACATGACCAACCAAGCCGCCCTGCGGTTGATCGGTTTGCGTCTGTCCATACGGATCCGTAGACGCGCGTACAGATACATCACCCCCACCGTTCCGACCAGGCCGTCCCGGGGCTGGTACAATACCCGTTTCTCACCCTCCTCGAAAACCGGGTCGGCCCATTCGCCGAGAGGAAGTCGAACCGGATCACACGCTCTCAGCTCCTGCAGCGTGAGCCGCCGAGGCGCTGACCGCCCACCGTGCCGTGCCCCCTCTCGACCTTGGCTTCCGAAAGCACCCCGAGGGGAGGGGGGGAGGAGACCAAACTGCACAGCATTGCATGAGTCACTGGATGCATCTCTTTCTCTCTTGAGACGAACGGGCTTGATGGCGGCGCGGGGGAGGTTTGCTTCTGTGCTCCCACCCCCCCAGTCCTCCCTATCACTAGTCTCCTACCTACTTTCACATCGGTTTCCTTGGCGTTGCGGCTCCAGTTTGCGGAACAAAGTGGTAGCTTCTTAGGACCCGCTTCAGATCTTTCCAGAGCCATCCACAAACAAACGGCTCCTACACGGTCAAGATCTTGAGTTACTGAGCAGCTCGTTCCCATCCTGCTAGTTTTCTCACGTTGCCTCTGCAAGCGCAGTTCGCCATGTCCAACCGCTCCAGTCGCCGCACCCTCTCCCCTCCGATCGAGCCGCCCGCGGCGCAGCGCAGCCCGGGTGTTGTGCCGCTTCCCTCTTTCCAGGAGTTCACGGAGAGTCTCACGTCGGACGAAGAAGACACCTTCGGCCCCCAGGCCCAGCTGCCTGTGCCTGTGTTTCCATCTCGGTTGCCGAGTCCATCAACTCCAGGGGACGGCTCTGAGTCAAGCCAGCGTGTTGGCCCCTCAATCGCTTCGTTTGTCCCGCCAGCTCGCCCAGAGGCCGGTGGCCCGTTGCCCGCGAGGGCCCCTCCAATCATCCATCTCGGCCATCACCAAGACCATCAACGGTTGCACCCCATGCAAGCACCAAGTGCCCCAGCGGAATTCGCACCGCGGCTTGAAGGCAGCCCCGTAATCGTCGACGAGCGTCCCCCCATCAACACCCCCATCAACGCCCCCATCAACGATGATGAAACCATTATGCCCCCGGAAATATGGGGTAACTTGGAGGGTGTGAGTGCCTTCCCCTTTCCCCGATGCTACCAACCCAAAGAGCATGGCGCTGAACCCACACCGCGCATCCTTCGCAGATCATCACTGCTGCCCGTAGCCTCTATACCTTCGGCCTCGGCCTCAAGGAACAACACTGTCGCTATGCGCCCGGGCCCTATGGGACGACAGTCACGGTCGCGCTTCTCCCGTCGAGCAAGATGGTGCAGATGTATGTCAAGTTGCCTCCCCCTTTTTGGTCGGCCATTTCTGGCCGGGCTTGCTGTCTCGGAGGAAACACTCGTGCCTGAGACATCCTGCTGTCCCAAAACTTGTTTCAATTTGAAAGGAAACGACTGACGGAGATTGATTCACCAACAGGCAGCTCCAGAGCGCGTTCGCGTTGAAAAAGAAGCTGAGGGAGTTTGAGCATCTGGTGAGATGGGAGGAGGCGAAGGCAGCGCCAAATGCAAATACGGGAGAGGTAACGGCGCCGCCGTCCTCCGGGCTCAAGCCGGGGGGTACTGCCGTCGGTGCGGCTGTCGGTAGCGAGGATGCCAAGAACGGAGGAGGCGTGGTCGATGGGGGAGTGGAGGCTGGTGATGCCTCTGCCTCGACGTCGTCGCCACGGCCGAAGAAGAAGAAGAGAAAGACAGTGTCGGAGCCGAGACCTAAGGTTTGTCGCTGTTTTGTTACTCTTCCCTTTTTCCCCCCTCTCCGACATGTCTCTCGAGACGGCACAACCCGGAGACAATCACTGACGAGTATCGCATCCTGCAGAATACCATCCCTGCGAGAAACCCCGCCGGGTGCTGCTACAATTGCGGGAGCGTCGAGAGCACGGAATGGCGGAGGGGTCCTGAGGGGCAGCGGACGCTGTGCAATCCTTGTGGGATTCGCTACGTGAAGGATAAGGGGCCGGTGCAGCTGGTGGTGCCACGCATCAATGCGTGGATGCCGATTGAGGTCTCGGATGTCCCGGTGCCGGCGGGGAGAGCGGCGTCTGCTAGTGGGGGGCGGAATGGGTTGAGGGTGTGGGAGTTTGTTTGAGGTTGTGTTTCTGTGTGAAGCTTCTTGGTGTTGGCTTTCTTTATGTTTGGGTGGTATCTTCTCTTGAGCTTTAGGTTCGGGTGTGGGCGGTGGTGGTGTGTTGTCAGTTTTTGGTGTTTGGCTTTCAAGGGGGTAAGAAAAGTTTGGCTGGCTGGGTGGGAGGGTATGGAGGTGGTTACGCGGGCCGGTGGTAATTCTGTGGGCTTCTTCGATCTTGTCTGGTTTGCATGGTGGGATTTCCATTTTCCGTTTTTTTTTTGTGTCTTGCTTTGTTTTGTTTTGTTTTCGTCATCACACTCCTTGTTCAGCACATAAGCTACCGGTATCTCGTCGAAGGTATCCAACATGTTACCAAAAATGATTTTTCTCAACAGTTGATAATATCAATATTTTGCCATTCCTTCCCAAAAACGCTGAGCGTGTCCTCCCGTTGCACCGCAGTTATCCCTGAGTGTCCACCCCCGTTCACGTTCATCCAACCAGACATCCATCCATCCAGCCAGGCATCCATCCATCGCAAGCTCACAACTCGCGCATGTTATAGCAGCAACCGACGTCATCGACGTTGTAGAAGGTGCACTCCCGACCGACGTAGAAGCCGTTCCAGCCGCTGCACATCTTTTCGGTGGCGCAGCGGCCGGAGGGGACGCCGCGACCGCAGGGGGCGGGGTAGGGGTCCCATGGGGCGGCGAGGGCGGTGGCGGCGAAGAAGGTGAGGGTGAGAGTGAGAGTGATGGGGGATTTCATGGTGGTGGTGGTGGTGGTGTTTGGGTTGTGATGTGTGGTTGGTGCTTGGTGTTTGGTTGGTGTTTGGTTCAGGGGTTCGCCTTTCAGGGTGGAGTTGATGTCGAGGTTGCGGTATTGACTGCTGAGCAGTTCGAGGGTGAAGAGTCTGAAGAGAAAAAAGAAGCTATCAATTCGGATAAGCTTCTTCGTCTGTATTTATACCCGCGAGTTGTAGTCGTACATCGGGGCGGGAAATGCCCCAGGCCATGTTCCAGATACCGGTTCAGCGCATATTGGGGATTTAATGTCGGGGAATTAATGACCTCACTGGGTGGTATCGAATTGCGGAGATGCAGGCATGTTTTCTCCCGGGAGGTCTGGGCTCTGTTGTCCGCCGTGGGTCGCTTCCCGGGTATTTGGGATGTGCACGTCGCGAAGGTTTGGTGGCTGGGGGCTGGGTCGGGTGTTACCTGGCAGCTTGTGGTGATGAGAGTTGGTATCCTGAGGCTAGAGGAGGGCGTGGGTGCTGGCACTTGAACATCTGGATACTTTTGGAAAAGGGGCAGATTTTTCGTTTGAACGGCCCTTTTTTCTTTCTTTTTTGTTCCCCCTTTTTTTCCGCATTAGGCATATGTTCCTGACCTGTTACGTCCATCTAGAAGTCCCAAACTTCCAAACGCCACACCACCACATCAGGCCTTCACAACTATGTGACACACACTCTGTTTCCAAAACTGGCTCTGTAACCGCAAAGTTCCAGTGATTAAATTGACAAACTATCAAAAGGAATGGCTCTAATATCGCCAAAATGAAAGGTTTGCGGTTTATGTGGATCGAACACATGACCTCCAGATGCTATGAGTGAAGTGGACTTCAGTCTGGCGCTCTCCCAACTGAGCTAAACCCGCTTTCAATGTCCTGATGGTGGATATCGTGGCCCTAGAGGGCTTACTGTAGTGGGTGGCCGCGTGCACTCTCGAAATCAAGGGGGCCGGCCTGTCTTTGAACCATGTTATTATCAACCCAATTGAAAGCTCCATACTGCTATCTTACACTCTAGGAACCCTTCCTTGGTTCTTTTTTAAAAAAAATGAAACGAAGTGCTAAATAGGGTGCAGAGACTTAAAGAAAGTACAAGAAGGCAGCAGAACGAGAACGGATGGACAAGTATATGGGATAGATGTTTGCAATATGATGACAAAGGAAAAGATAGCGGTGTCAGTTGAGGATGTCTTGGCATGGGCCTGAAATCATCAGGGTCTGCCCCATAGGGTGGTGGGTAGTTTGGCGACTCAATTACCTCTGTCGGAATTGCTGGCCTGACCCGAGCCCATTGCATAGAGCAGGCTTTGAATCTCTTCCCATGGCGTCCGGTGACGGGGAGCGCCTTCTTCAGTTTTGAAAGAAGTCCTGGACCTATCAGCTGACAATGCAGCAAAAGGCTGCCATTGTGGGCAACTCGGGACTTGGGGCTGACTGTGCTCATCAACCGAGAGCGAAAAGCTTCCGGCCAGATTGCGATCCTTTGCGAAGTCATACACAATTTGTGTCATTCCCCACATGTCCTCGCTGGTGTTGTAATGGGTCCCTAGCGCAGTGGTGAAGGCCGAGTGATACGTGTCCCTATAGTTTCCAGTAGTGAACTCGGGGTTCGATTCGGAACAATGTGCATGTGGGTTCGGATGACCCATGACCAGGCTGTAGCAGTGAAAACAACATTTCTTCGTGCCTCCGATCTTGATTTGCCGGCGATTGGCAGCCCACTCATTCAAAACCCGGAGTCCGAGCTTTTGTACGAAGTAGTGGATAACTTGAACCTCGCAATGAACCAGCAATGACCCCAACGCAGCATGATTTTGAATGGGCCACGGGCAGAATCTTTCATAGGGATGGATTTTACCACAGTCTTTGCCGATTTGAGCAGGAGGCTTTGGCGAATGGAAAGTGATTGTTGTCAGTCGGTTCATCGACATGAAGATAATGATGGCCAGTAGCGCATTTGGAAGTCTTGAAATCCTCTCCACCATGTCTAGCCAGTTCTTGAGGTCTGACCCGTTTTCCAATTTGATCTCTTTGGATGACTCTCCGGTGCGAGCATGCCAAACCTTTGTAGCAAAGCCCATTTTGTTCGTGGTCTCTCGATGTACCACAAGATCATAGTCGCATTGAAACTTCCAAGCCTTGATTGTCATCTCGGCTAGTTCGGTCGGTTGTATTGCGGTCTCCCTTGGCTCCGGTCCTCGAATGTCCCGAAGTTGTTGTACAGCTCCGCTGAAGGGCAGATTGTTTGCTGAGTTGTCGACAATCCTCCTCAGGTGTTCCAGACCCTGTTCGAACTCAATGCCGGATGGCAGCCACGGCTTCCACCCGTCTAGGTGTTTATGGTGGAGAATGACGGACTGGCATTGTTTAGCAATCTTCTCCACCATCTTGAGGAGTGATTCCTGGGCCCAGTATTCCTTTTCCTTGTTTTCCAGATTTTGGGGTTCGTGGAAAAAGCCTGCAAGGAGTTTTTCCATCTCCTTGATATACCGACGGTCCTCTTCGCCAAACCCGTGGTTATGGGTCACCAACACCGTGATATTCCCCTTGTCCGTCGGTGCTGTATGATCAATGGCTGTAGCAACAACGTTTTTTCCCCCGGTTTTCTCAAAGATGGCTGCGACGCTGTAGAGGAAATCGTCGATGAAGCGAGCGTTCTGAACTGAGTTGAATCGATGGGTGTGTACCCCATCCGGGTTGGGATTGTCCACAATGGCGGATTCAGCTCCAGAGTCAGCCTCCGAGAACTGGGATCCAGTCTGAGAATCCAGCTCGGACCGTGTAGATGGCGTGATGGTGGATGGTTGGGACGAGCTCTCATCATGAACAGAAGTCTCTTGTCGGGGAGTCCAAGACATCGGGCCAGCCGAGTCATCTGTAGTGTTCAAGAATTCCCAGAAAAGGTGGTTGTGAGCCATTGTTGGCCTGTGGAAGCGTGGGGCGTAGGGGGCTGAAGTGGATAGCGTGCCTGGGACTTGGGACTTCGTTGTAGATAGGTAGTGATGGTACTTGCGATGGGGATGATTGTCTGACTGAACCTCTATCTCAATCGTTCTTGTTGGGCCCTTATGTAGTGACATAGTCATGAACACCTTGACCCCCCTGTCCGCTGCAAACTATGCATTGACGCTTCTATCAACCCGTAGTCCGTCGTATCTCAACTCCTATGAAGTTTCACTATTGAATCTGTCTATCCAACGGCCAAAGACATGGCCCGAAAGCACTGGATCAGAAAGACCTCTGATGTGAAGTTTCAGTGTGTACTGTGGCCGTGAGTTGCGGCCTAGGTAGTAGCTGCAAAAGTTTGGGAGTGACATGGCACAGCTCATATGTTCCAGGTTGTCATAACAATGCGAGAAACAATAGGCCTTGTTAGCTCTAAGTGTGGGGATGAGCAAGGATTTTTCTTTCACTGGTTTCAGGGTCAGTTCGGCGATTCAGGGGTACTCAACAACAAAGGCTGCGATTTCTTTGCAGAACTTCGAGAGTGGTCACGTCAATGCATTTGATTGCTTCGCCAACGCCTCGAGTCGAAAGAAACTCGAAATGAAGGTTTGCAATGCCCTGTATGTCGTTCATTCGTGAGCCCCAACTGCGCCGAAGAATTGATTACCTGGTACTGGTAGGGCAATCTATCACTTCTGGGCGGCTGGTTCCCCAGAAACATCTGCCCCCTTGAGCCCTAGCCGCATCAAACATCAAACTCTACTGTGGCTTCAATGCATTTAATTTCAGCTCCATCACTGGGGGTATGACCATACCCGCCCGGTGCTTGTTGACTTCAGGGGGGGGGCATGTTGCGATCTAACAGGGGTTCTCCACAAGGGAAGACATGCACATGATGTGTAACGGAGTTCAAACCTATCCGTACTGATTGCGTCAGGAATTATAGGATTGTCATAAATGAGAATACTACTATCTTGTCGGCACAGGGTGGTATGATGGGTTGCTCACTCAGCCCCTGAATACGGTCTGACCCTAACCCTGGGGTGTCAACAGTGGACCCCTTTGTCGATTGTCGTCTCGTGTCCACAAAGCAACCTCCAGCCAACCTCCACCTCCACACCCCGACCTGTCGGCCAACATGCAAAACCGGGCAAATCCCATGGCGTTCAATTGATGCCAGATCTCGTCAGATCTCGTCAGATCTCGCGCATGCACGGCTCTCTTTCCGACCAGACACATCCCACGCGCGGTCTCTATGCGTCACAGCTGATTGGCTCACGCGTCATTGCTCCTAAAAGCACGCCATTGCGCCCATTCCACCGCACCTTCCACCGCGTCCGACAGGCACGCCCATTTTCTGTCTTTTTTGGTACCATTTTTTTTTTCTAAGAGACCTTCTCAACCTGTGGGCACGGCATCTGTTTATCTGTTTCCGCGACGCATTATATTGACCGGTGTTTGCCCCCACTCTGTCGGGTTCGTATCGTCATTGCGCGCGGCCGTTGAGCGCCGCGCCGCGCCCACCCTTCAGGTTGGTGGGGAGCCTAATGTCTCACTGCCGCGCTCGTGCCCAATGCATATGACGCATCACTCGAAACAGGTGGGCGAGCTCTCATATTGCGCCTTGTGCCGGCCGGTGGTGCAATGGGTTCGTTACCTGCCTCCTCTTCCTCCGCCCCAGGCAAAGACGATGACTGGGACGATTGGGACGTCGGTGCCGCTGCGGGAGCGAGCAGTGCTGATATAAGGTCTGTGCCCGGTTTCTTTGTCGTCGTTCCGCTTTCTTTGTTCCCCCTCCTTGATTGTTTGTGATACCCCCCCCTCGTTTCTTCGGTTGCTTTGTCTCTGGGAGACATTTTTTGACGTCGGGGGGTTATTGTCATCATGCCCCCTATTGTTTCACTCTACGGCACCTTCGGGTCGGGCTCGGCTATGCGAAACAACGGGTCGAGGATGGAGCTAACGCCCGAGGAAAGACTGGAGGAGTGGAAGGAACGGGATGATGAGTCCGATATCAGCAAGGATGACGCCGATGCTACTGCCGCCTTGATCGGGCCTGGCGGAGCCCTGGGGGAGCCGGAGGTGAGGAGGGGCTCGTGGTTCTCAAGCGACAAAGGGAAGGAGCAGGATGCGGATGGTATCGCTACGCAGGTATGGCGAGCAACACCTTGAGGGAGGGCCGGCGCTGACATGTAACAGCGAAGCGTGTTCGATGACCCGGATCTGGCCGGCCAGTATCTCCCGCGGTCTGACTGGTAGGTTACGATTACAACGGCACTCCAGAGCCATGTCTGACTTGCTCAGGGAAAACATTCACCGCTTTGACCCTAACGCGCGGTGGACATGGAGGGAGGAACAGGCACTGGTTCGGAGAATAGACTGGAAGATCATGCTCTGGACTTGCATCATGTTCTGCGCCTTGGAGATGGACCGCGCAAACATTCGGCAGGCTGTCACGGACGATCTGCTTCCCGAGCTGGGACTTACGACGAACGGTTTGCCTCCCAGTGTCCGCACATGTTGCTCGGCAGTTCGATGCTGACTCTGGCCAGACTACAACATCGGGAACTCACTCTTTGCCCTGTCGTTCCTCCTTGCCGAGGTCCCATCACAGCTGATCAGCAAGCGGCTAGGCCCAGACCGCTGGATCCCTATTCAGATGGTCCTTTGGTCTATTGTGGCGGCAAGCCAGTTCAGTATGGCGGGCCGGACGAGATACATGGTCTCACGGGTTCTCCTTGGCGTTCTCCAGGGCGGCTTCATTCCGACTGTCGTCCTCTACCTCTCATATTTCTACAAGGCACACGAACTCACGATTCGCATGGGATTCTTTTGGACAGCCATGGTGTTTGCGGACATATTTGCGGCATTTTCGGCATTTGCATTGTTGCATCTTCGCGGCGTTGGCGGTTTGTCGGGA